ACCTGCTGGCAGAGAACGAATTTGCTTTTTCAATAAGCCCATCTGCTATTTTTGTTACATATTTTTAAATGTGAACCAGTGGATCGACAAAAAGCTAATGCATTATAAAAATCTAAACAATTAAGACACTAAGATATATGTATATGTTATTTAATATAATGATTAAATGATAATAATCGTTTAAATTAATATAATAATTGATACTTTTGTCTCATCCCTTTCTTAATAATTGTTCAAAGGCTGAAATGTGAAGTGCAGATCTTAAAAAGGTCTTTAAAGGTCTTAAATTTGATTTTAAAAATCCTGCAGATACGGTTGTTTTGAGAATGTTCTGTAGGCTACTGATAAAAAAAGGACCTCTGTATATTTGTTTGTTGCAAATTTACAGACAATGCAATTGAAATGTTTACATTGGTTAGTCAGGGTAATATTTCTCTCCACTGACAACAAAGTTTTCCTTCTGAATTAGCATAACTGCACAAGTTTTATACTTAATAAAATCTTTAAAATAAAATTGACATTAGTTATACTTTAATTTCCTTCAATAAACAGGAAATTGAGTAAGACGGTGTAAAAGGTGTGTGGACGTGGATTAGTAATCTGGCCCCTTGGTATAAAGGAGAAAAAATGCTGGCCCTCGTCACTATCAAAGTTGCCCATCCCTGCTGTAGGTAAAGCACTCTTGTTGCACACTTGAGGGCATTATTTCTTTAAAAACCGTAGGCAGAACTTCAGTCAGTTAGATCGTTCTCCACCTTAACATTGACACACTAGACTGCTAGGGTGCTCTTTATGGTTGCCTTTGGCTTGCTTAATTAAAGTAAAAATATCCTTAATATTCAGTAGTATTACGGATTTGACTGCACTGACAATATCAGATGAGAATAAAACTTGAACTGAATTGATCTGTATGGTGACTCTGTTGTCTTCTTAAGAACTGCTTTACAGCTTAATCAAATTCATTTTATAATTGATGAACTTTACAGTTGTTGAACTGAACTGGATCAACACTGAACTCGCGCTAAATAATAACACTAATAATAATAATAATAATTACAGCAGAATTTGAATTTGCCATTAAATGAATGAAGCTTGCATTGTTGACGATATTTTCCTCTTTATTACTGTGAATCTGCTTTGAAACAATCTAATGACTTGACTTGCTAATGTTGCTAGATGGTTGCATGGGTGTTCTGGGAGGTTGCATACTTGTAGGTCTCTGACATTTTAAATGTCGTGGAATTTTCTTTATTCTTTTTAACAAAGGGTGAAAATCATGTCCCATTGGTGGTAATATATACACTACCTCTCCTCAATGAGCTGCTGGATTTGAAACATAATTTATGTGGGTAGTACAAATGCAGGAAAAGTTATGCTCCCAGTTTTAATGATCATCATTGGGGGATGTTCGCAAAGTATGAGCAAATATAATAGTTATATTTGCCTTACATTATTATTAGTAGTTTGTTAAATCAAATGAAAAATGGTGTGTCTGATTGGTCCAGACGCTACAATATATATATAAAATAAATGTTTAAATAAATGTTTAATTAATAGGGGTCGTATACTAAACTTATTCAAATGAAAATGGCAACATGATCGTTTTATAAAGTATGCGTTCATACAGTATGTGCTTCATTTTTGCTGGAGGAAACCTGTGGCGTGATGAGGGGTGAACGCAGTTAAAACCTTGGCTACAGTAGGTCGGGAAACGGTTATATAGCTATATAATCTATATAATACGGTGGCCGAGAAGTGCAAAGCAAATCACAATTCTGAAAACAAAATAACAACATTACAAACGCAAATGCAAGCCTAAAAAACAAAATAACAATTCAGAAAGCACAACAACAATTCAGAAAACATTAGGGGAGCGCGGGGCACAAAGTAACGCGGGGTAAGTTGTAACACACGTAGTTTAAATATTTCCACACATGCTAGCATAACCAAATTTTCAGCATTTACTAGTTACCATATCAACATTATATAGAGAAAAAAAGTGCACCAAAATTCAAAAGTTTTTTGAAGATATCGCTGAACATTTATTTTACCATAGTAAAATTATATTTCTGGCTTAAGTAAATTTTTCATCTCAGTTTTTATTACTCATTTAAAATGAGACAAATCTGCTATTATTTTAATCTCCAATCTGTTATT